AGTCAATAGAAGGCTTTGGGTGCAGATATTGTAGCAGCACTGTTCAAGAAAGAAAATAAAAAGATTTAGGAGAGCTACTTTGACTTTACGCCTGTTCTACACTGTGTTCTAGACGGGACTGTTAGGACTCCAGACGTCTCGAGAGACTCCTTAGGGAGGACTTAGTGTTGAAATATTTTAAAACCTTTGAAATAGGAAGCCACTTGGTGAGCCATGTAACTTCTTACTATATGAATGAGTCACTGTCCTCTGCACAGCATAGAGTTTACAAGCACTACATGATACAAACATTTTCGCCAAGTTCTTTTGTGTTATACTCCTGCGCACTTGGGGTGAATAAAGACAGACTTAAGCACAATTGAGTGAAGAAATTAGTGTAAGGTCACATAGTTAGCTTAAACTTTTCCCATGTTAAGATTAGAACTTTTCTTATATTTAAAAAAAAAAAACATAGTAAATAGAATAAGAAATATCAATTCTCTATTAAAAAACCAATCAATCTTAAAAAGTTGACAAGAAGTCAGCATGACACTGTTAATTACAATAAAATATTAATAAATAATAAATAAATCGGACAAATGCTCCATCAATTCTCAATTTTCTTTCAACTGTTAACAAATAATTGGAAAAGAAAATGAGGGGAATGTTCTCATATAAATTAATTGTTCTCCGACGAAGTCTGTTCCTCATTAATCAAATGTTCACATTTGATTATTATTAGTAGTTTACTTAAAACAAAGTTTTAAATAAAGGACTTATTTAAAGCATATTATTCATGTAGAGTGAACTAGATTAAACTACAAAATAATGAATTCTTTAATTTTGTGTTTTCCTTTAATTTGTTTTTGTTGTCTTTATATAAAAGTAACAGACTGTATTTTCCTTTTTTTAATTTAAGATTTTTATTCCAACTTATACTATTTGTTTTTGACAAATCTCATGACTAAAAGAGGTTAATTAAAATTCAATTTATATTTTCTTTATTGTTTAATTGCATGTTATAGGCTTTTAATATATTCATGTTTATTCTTTGGTTTTAAAGTCATAGTTTATTTGATTTTATTAGAGTTTAGATATACATGCTTAAGTTTGTCTTATGGTTTTTATGTACTTTTATGTTTTAAAATTTTTAAATTTGGCTTTTCATTTTCATCTCAGTTCAGGATTTTATGTTTATAGATGTTTAGAGTATGTTTTATATTGTGATTTCATGGTTGGTTGTTCGTATATGCATGATTAGGTTTAATTTCATGGTTGCTATGATATACTCTCCTTCCTCACGTATACTGCAAATCTTTTATGTTTTGTTCTTAATAAATATTTTTTATATTGTAGAATTTGTAGAACTGTACTTAAATAATGTTACTGAGGATATTATAAATTTAGATTTTTTTTTTAAATTGAAAAATCTCTTAAAGCCAATTACTCTATAAAAGTTCTATTAAAAGGGGAAAAAAAATACATTGGGGAGGGAGACATGATCCTTATGTCCAGAATTACATGTGAAAGATAAGAAAAAGTCCTAATGGTGGTATTACTTTCCTTGCATATACTTTACGAGTGCATGGGACAAGTA